GCTCATTATTAGAAAAATAACTACTTTAATGACAGGGATATTTTATTTTTGTGTGCATTTTCTGCAGTGAGAAATTGCACTTTATGCAATATAACATTACATGTACCTGTAATAGAGGGATAATTAAGGAGGGAGAAGGGGGAAACAAAGATGATTTGCAACTGCTTCCTTTTGCTCAAAAACCCAATTATAAGATGCATTTTGCTTTTAAAATAAGCAAGATTCCTTTTTTTAAAGAAAATATTACTGATAGCAAGGTATTTATATAGTAGAGCATATTTGTACAAGGGCACATGTGACAATGATGCCACAAAAATACAGCACTGATTTCAATCAATTGCTACAGACTTCACATTACTTAAAAAAATAAAAAAAATGCATTAGAATCAACAAGGTAAAAAAAAGGATATTCCATTTTTATACTTGCTACCTTGAACATACTTCACATTTAATTTCACCCTACTGCCATGGGCACTGTGTTGTTATGACAGCTGATCTACCATTGAATAGCTGTAAAAGAAAATCAACAAAAGATCGCTTCAGTGATTTTCGATGCAATTTATTGGAGCTTGTATCTTGCGGCTGCTGCCACCTGTCGGGGTAATGACACATGATGGGTGATTAAAGTGCAAGTCCTTAAATCAAAGCTGTGCTGATAGTCTGAAGAGGCAGAAAACGACACTTGGAGCTTGTTTATCTCTTACAGTGGGAGGACCTCATTAGGACAAAAACCAAAAAACCAAAACCTTGTTAGACTAACAAGAGCAAATGCTTGTGTCGAGGGGAATTTTTTCATGTTTTCAAGGTTTAGCATAAATTTCTCTGTAGCTCTTCTCAACATGCACATTACAAAACTACTTATTTGCTATTATGTGCCTGCATGAATTTGATTACCACAATTGCAGTTCCAGGTGGTTCTTTGCCATTTATTTTTATAAAATTGCTGTTTTTAATTTCCACTGGACAGAAACCAAACCTTCCTATTGATATCTTAACCTGCATATGCCACCAAAAAATATATTAATGAACAATTAGACATTTCCCAGTTCAGGACAGAGTTATAATAAAGAGTGGAATTGAGCAGAAGCTCTCAGTGTTTTGTGGAAGCTTCTTTCAGATGGCCTATGGAAAAGTTGTAGGACAGAATATCTGTAGGTGATTTTGTCATTTATTTTGATGATAAAGTTTGTCGAATCCATACGTACTAGTGGGGGGCTAATGTGTTTCAGATTATGGCACTAAATAGGAACTAAGATTGTTTTGCAGTTAAAAAAATGTGACTAGATATTTGAAAAGGAAGATAAACAAATTCTGCATTCAGTTAATCATAAAGCTACATTGAAAGCTTTCCAAACATATGTTCATTCAATACTATATACTATACCCTTTATAGAGGATACTCCAGCTGATTGGGATCATGGCATGTTACATTTTTTTAAACAAAAATGATAAAGCCATTTTATCAGACTTATAGTATATTTGCTGTTTGTTAATTGGTTGCTGATGTTTTGCCAAACACAGATTCTACATAAAATGTAATTTGATTAATTTTACTTGGTTATTTTAATTTTACTTACTTTACTATAATTATATCAATGTAGGATTTCTAGTTTTAAATTATAGCTTATGGTTTATGCTTATGCAAGATGATATGCTTCCAGATAGCTCTTCCAGATAGAAGTAAGTTTTCAACAGTGAAATGAGATAAACCCCTCATTATGCAGAAACATTTATGTGATCTGTGAGTTATCCTCTAATAAGGAAATCTTGTTTCAAGAACTGAGTATTTGTATTAGCTCTAGGTCTTGCATTCCGCCTTTCCATACCGAACTTTCCATGCTTGTGAGCATCTATTTTTGCCTTCTTTATCTAGTAAATTCTCTGTAACAGTCTCAAATCATAAAAGCTGGATCAAGTGAATCAAGGCAGAAGCATAAAAGGGAACCACAGTAATTCCACGGAGACTGCTGATTTTTTATTTCCCTTTCAGCAAACTTTAATGATAATTTAGTACACTTGTTTCTTAGAAACTCACCTGTGACTGCAAAAACTCTTTGGATCACTTTTTCACACTTGACTTAGCTAGCCCTGCTCAGGTCTTGTTCTTCTATACAAAATGAATTTTAAAATAGTAAAAACAGTCCAGATTACTTTCAGATGTGTTTAAATTGAAAAGTTGGAAGGCAGGAAAGCTTATTACCTGAAAGTAAGTACCCCTGTGTATAAGCTCCTCAATCAAACAAGGGAAATGTCTTTTGCAGATATGTTAGTTTCAAATACAAGCCATTTTTTCAAGCTATTATAATTTATTTCAAGTTTTTTATGAGCTAAATTGTACTTCTTCAACCACATTAGCTTTTCTGTTGCTCTATCACAGGTAAAATTTTGTGCTGAGAGCTTCTAATTAGGAAGGAAACAGTGTGGGGTGTGGGTGGGTGATCCAAGCAACTCATAATATTCACAATTCATTTTGCAAGTTTAAGCTCTGTATTTATTTCTAAGCTCACCACACAGAAAATTATGCCTATAGCACATTTCCTCCCCTGCCTCATTCTGAGCATAAGGAGAGGCTACTAGAAAAAGACTCTGCAGACTAGATAAGCATATTATATTGTATTAATTAGCCTAGCAGGATGCATTACACTGGAATGAAACTTGAAGCTTGCCACTACTAGCAGCCTATACCACAGGACTGGAGCAGATAAACCAATAGTACAGTGTTTTTCAACCTTAGCAAGTATATGATGTGTAGACTTCAACTCCTAGGCACTGGCTGAGGAATTCTGGGAGTTGAAGTCCACACGTCTTGAACTTCCCAAGGTTGAAAAACACTGCAATAGAATCAGCTGATAAGAATGAAGGTGAAAGGGAATAAGAAACCCTGCAAAAAGGCACAAATGTGAATAAACTATTTTAGATATCCCACATAATTGCTTATTACTGTATATTAAACATCAGTTAAATGTGTATACATTGATCTAGATAAAGTATGTTCTGGCATTCAACTATTATAAACTATAACTGTCATATAAAATGTACAATGGGAACAGAAAGAATGGGTGTGCTGCTCAAAATTATTTTGGGTACCTCCTAAATCTAAATAAAATAATAAAAAAGGACTATAGATATAGATATAGATATAGATATATAGATATATAGATATATTTGTTACTTGATGCTAGCTTTTACTTGATTCAAAAGATACTATCTCCTGAGAGATCTTTGCTCTGACTTGATAAAAGATACTTTTATGACACATAAAATTGCATAGCATTATCAGACAGACTTTTAGCTTAGCTGTCAACTAAGGGGAAGCTAGAAGGTTGTTTTTATTTTTCTTTCTAAATGTTAAAAATATGGCATTTACTATCAGAACTGCCTTTAACGATTGCTTTGGAAAAATCAGCATCATCCAAATTGTAAAAAGTACAGTAACTTATCTACTGCCTGGGTATTACATTGGTCAGTTACAGCTTAAGGGGGGAGGGGGGTGGCTTCTATTTTATCGTAAAAATAAGTAAATTGGTACTTTTTCAGATGTTTCAGATTACAATTTCCATTATGCCAAATGTGGTAGTTGAACTTACAGAATCTGTAACCCAAGCATTTGGCAGGCATTAAGTTCTATTACTTTAGGGAAGAACATACTTGGGGATGATGATTCTGGCATACAAATTAAAGTCTCTTTATTTATCAATGAATACAATACAAAATCTAATCACTGTCCTTCCTTCTTTTTTAATAATGTGAATTTAATGGGATTGTAACAGCCCTTTTCGAATAATAGCCAAAATAAAAGAACATTAGCAAAAGCTTTTTTAGTCTGTGTTCTTTTATTGCTTTGGTTATTAGTTGTACAACTTTCTCTGCACCAAACTGATTTGGTGTACATACACACACACACACACACACACACACACACACACGAATGTAAATCATGACTGGCAGATTGAATGTTACATTTTTCATGTCTTGAGATCCCAGGGAAAATTGATTATACAAAAATTGCAAAAAATATTGCAAAAATTCACTGTGAATTCATTACCAAAACGGCAGCTTTTGATTAAAAATGTCCAATATTCATTCTGGGACATTTGGAGATTATTCAATTGTTCTCATTTGGTCTCCCTTCCCCACTTCCTAAGCAAATAAATCATTATTTAGGTCAGGGGTGTCAAACTTATCTGGATTTCCCCCCCTTTGCTAAACCGGGCATGGGTGTGGCCAGCGCATGACGCATCTGGCCCACAGCCCGTGAGTTTGACAGCCCTGATTTAGGTAGTCCTTGTTGTAGCCACACCTGAACTTAAAAATTCTCTTCTGGTCTTGGTCCAAAATACTTTATTCTTTGTTTAAGAACACCATTTAGGACTGTAGGCTTAAATACAAATCAAAAAGAAAGAAAAGAAAGCAAAATCTTGGAAATTCTACAAGTATCATTTTACTACATTTTGAATGATGTTCAGAAATCTAGTTGTTTACTTTGAATGACCTAGCAAATCACAATTAATTAATTAATTAATTAATTAATTAATCCAATTAATTTGGAGCTAAGAATCATCACTTTCCAAAGCAGCATAAATAAAATCTCATGATTCTGACTTGCAGAATATGGACAGTATAACTGTCATTACAATAAAATATGAAAGTCAACTGAAAAGTAAGCACCTCCTGTGAAGGCATTCTGAAGCTCTTTCTTGTAATCTATATTTAAGCTCTGTCCAGGTTTAACATACATTAGCAACATCAAGATGCCTCTCTGTACTTCAAAAATATGTTGAAGGAGCTTATTGATCTTACAGAAATGTTTCACAGACAATGTCAACCCTTCCGTTTGCTTACTTAATCTTCCTCAACTAAATTGTAACTAATTGTAGCTGCAGCAAGAAGAATGTGCAAGTGTGCCTTAGAATGAATGCAAAATATTTTTTTTCAATTCAGGAGTTGAAAGGTATCCTTTTGCAACTCAATAGTCATTACTATCAGGAAGAAATTCTTACTTTTAACAGTGAGGTACATGGACTTGCTGACGTCAGCCCCCACATCATTGCTGACCTTGCAGAGGTAGTATCCACTATCTTCTTCCAGAACATGCTTGATCAACAAGGAGCCATTTGTCAGAAGCTGGATACGCCCATTCAAGGCAATTGGTTGGAACTGGGGAACTCCAGCACCTATTAGGATAATTTAAAAAATGAATCAGGAGGCAAGATGCTTGAAAGAAGTAACTGATTTGATTGCTACTGGAACAAAATTGAAGTGACTTAGAAGTCCTTTTAAGTATATATACACACATACAAGCACATACATACTATATAAGATAGGCAAAAGTTTTTCTTAAAAACTCTTGCAGTAATAATTGATATGGAAGGTAGACAGGGGCACACTTCTAAAAATTACTTAAATTAAGAGCCATACTTGTAAATTTAGTAACTGCTAAAATATTCAAAAAGTGCATGCAAGGGTCATGATATTTAAATACATGAAGTCCTCAGGTTATGACCAGTCCTTCAATGACTGTTCAAAGTTACAATAGCATTGAATAAATGGTGCATGATAGGGTGGATTTGATTTAAATCGAGTTGATTTAAATCATGATTTAAATCATGATTTAAATCACTAGTAAAAAGGCTTGATTTAAATCAACTCGATTTAAATAATAATTTTTAAAGAGCAACTGTCATCTCTGCTACTCCTTTGACCCACTGTTGACTCACCGATAGTCCCAGTGTTGCAGAATATACAGCCTCATGCTACATAACTAAGCTCCATTTCATGCTGAATAAACTAAATTATTTATGTATCTTAAAAAGAAAACTATCTTAAGATAGATTTTTACCCCAAAAGTTTTTTATTAAAATAAATTTGATAAAAATAAAAAAAAATCCGATTTAAATCAAAAAATTCCGATTTAAATCAAAAAAATCTGATTTTTTTTGATTTTTTTAAAAAAAATCATTGATTTTTATCCACCCTGGTTGCCACTGTTGCAGTGTCCTCGTGGTCTTGTGATCAAGATTTCTGACATTGCTTTCCAGCTTCCCAAAAACAAAGTCAATGGAAAAGCTGGCAGGAAATCAAAAGTCACCATCATGTGAGCATCTCCCTTAATAATAGCAATTGACTCTGCCATAATTGCCATCTCTAAACGATGCAGCCATATGGCATTGCACTTTACAACCTCTTTACTTAGTAATTCTGGTCTCTAGTATCATCATAAGCCAAAATAAAGCCTGCAACAACTAATAACTTGATCAATAAATTTTATCACCTTTGTTAAGAGCAGAAAGTATTTTAGTATGATAGATTACACATATATCATATTTGTATGCATGTTTGCTTTTTGCTGATATTATTAATTGCACAATGTTCCCAGACTGGAATTTTCATTTAATGGGAATATCCAGTTAGAAATAATTAAGTATTAGACATAATTTTGCTTATAAATAGAAAAGTTTCCTTCTATTATACATAATAACTCAATGAATAAAATTACAATCTTAAACCCAGGAATTGCAATATCACTTACTTATATACCATCCTATAGTGTTTTACAGTATTCTCGGGTGGTTCACAATGACAGAATATTGCTCCCAACAATCTGGGACCTCATTTTACCACCTCAGAAGGATGGAAGGATGAGTCAACCTTGAAATCAGCATGGAACTTTAGGCTATGGGGAGAGTTATCCTGCAACACTGTATTCTAACCATTGTGCCACCAGGTCTCATATAGAAAGAGGTATACATGTTGTCCTTGATTTATGAAGGGTCACTTAGCAACTGTACGAAGTTACCTCTCTAGAGCTACTTATGACCTGGATTCAAAGATGTTTCACTTCTCATCCAAGAAGCTTCTTCAGCTCTGACTGAATGGTGGGGAATGGAAGGATTTATACTCCTTGTAGACAGCTGGTCAATATCTGAAAAGCTCAGGAGGATCTTCAGCCAACACAACATACGTACTCACTTTAAACCCAAGAACCCACTAAGGCAGAAACTTGTCCACCCCAAGGATAAAATGCCAGACACAAACTGAGCAATATGGTATATGCACTACAATGCAATGAGACGTGCAGATCTGTACATTGGGGAAACAAAACAACCAGTTCATAAACATAGGAGAACAAACCCATCAGGACAAGATTCAGCAGTCCATCTGCATTTAAAAGACAAAGGCCACTCTTTTGAAGACAGCAAAGTCCACATTTCAAATAGAGAGGACCACTGGTTTGAAAGAGGGGTCAAAGAAGCCATCTATGTCAAAATTGAACAGCCATCTCTCAACAGAGGGGGATTGATACGACATCATCTATCTTCAGCTATAACACAATCCAAGCAGTTCCAAGAAGTCTCCACACCCATTTGCACTACTTAGGTGACCATGAAGACACAGATAAACCTCCAAGTGGCCTCAACGACTCTCTAAAACAATGCAGATGACCAGCTGTCTGCAAGGAGTATAAATCCTTCCATTCCCCACCATCCAGTCAGAGCTTAAGAAGCTTCTTGGATGAGAAGCGAAACGTCTTCAAAGGAAAAACAAGAAAGTTCAGTTGCCTCTTGAAAAAGCACCTTTGGGACAACCTGAGGACTAAGAATCTCCATAGACACCTGGATTCAAAGTTCCAACAGCTGCCTACCCCCATGTTCATGTGATTGTTGTTTGGGCACTCAGCAATTGGCCTGCATTTCAGTATCCCATTGTAATGTGACCACAATTTTACAGTTTTTGCCAGAAACAAGTATTTAATTCCAGTTTCTGTCAAAAAATGCCCATTGTGGACAATGGATTTGCTTAACGATCATGATGATTCACTTAATGACAACTGCAGAAAAGGTTGTAAAATTGGGCATAGTCACATTGTGACTTGGCACAATTTATAACTGTAATTCTGAGCTCAATCATGTTCATAAGTTGAGTACTACCTGTACAAATGTTATGTTCATCAACTGGGAGTGCAAATGAGGTACAGCTTGAATGGTAATAGCCTGGTAATTTACTATGGAATAATTTCTTTTTGTCAAACAAGAGTCTAGCAGATATGATACAGTATTACACTACTCAACTTAGAAGTCTATAATCTTTTTCAAATTAAAAGATACCCAACACTTTTCAGTGCCACGTCCACTCTCCAATATGAGTGGGGCCAAGAGAAAGAGGTAGATAGCATTAAAATAAACATAAATTTTCAATTAGTATGACTTTTCCCTTAAATATTTAATATTGCCCCACTTTTGCTGCATAACAATTAGAAATTTGGGGTCAATTTGGGTAGAAACCTTTGGAGAAGTTTTAGGACTGCTGAAGTTATGTCCATATGTTATATTCCAAGAGCATTCTTAGTATATGTCTATACCAGTGGCAGATTAAGGCTCACTGGTGCCCTAAGCACTGACAAATCTTGGTGCCTCCCTTCTTTGTACATACTGTACAAACGAAACCAAGCTTAGGCTACATAAAACTTTGTGGTGCCCACTTTGGGCCTAGTGCCCTAAGCACATACTTAGTCTGCTTAATGGTTAATACACCACTGGTCTATACGTAGATGATGATGATTTTTTAGAGGCTGTCTTGACTCCAAAATGACTTTGGCTAACTTACGTTTAAAAATAGAACATTAATAAACAGAAGAAGTAAAGTGTCCCAGCAAACACATTATATACCATAGCAAACCAACAAATCAGAGCTCCACAAGAATCCTGCCACTAGGCCTGGGAGAAACAAGTACTTTCAGCCACTTTGGATCTGGAACTGATCTCACAATATTGGCTGGTTTGAGAAGCTGTGTCAAATTATTCTGCTGTGCTCTAGTTTATTTGAAACCAGCAGTGTTGTCTCTGAACTGTAGCGAATTTAATAAGCTTGTGGGTAGTCTATTTTCCCATTCACAGAAACTTTTGCCTCACCTCTATTCCAGGACTCAAGCTGGCTATTGCTTCCTGAGCACTTGATTTGATTTGATTTGATTTGATTTGATTGAACTTCTATACCGCCCTTCTCCCAAAGGACTCAGGGCGGTGTACAGCCATATTAAAATACATATAAACTCACAAAATTTAAAAGCAATTTAAAATGAATATATAAAAATTTGGCCCACAAAGTTAAAAGCTAATAAACACCCAATTTAAAATTCATATTAAGCCAGCTCGGCCTGTTGGAACAAAAGAGTCTTAAGGGTGTGGCGAAAGGTACGCAGGTCGGGGATCATACGAACCTCTAGGGGCAGCTCATTCCAGAGGGCTGGTGCCCCCACAGAGAAGGCTCTCCCCCTGGATATTGCCAGTTGACATTGTTTGGCCAACAGCATCCTGAGGAGCCCCTCTCTGTGGGAGCGAATTGGCCGGTGGGAGGCTATCGGTGGCAGAAGGCGATCTCGTACTTACACACTTACACACTTACACACATAAAAGCTCAGATTCTCCCTTTGGAGCCTAACTGCTCCATAATTTTAAAAGTACCTTCTCCATTTGATAGGCATTGCAAATTGCAACCAAGATTAGAAGGTTGCCTACTTGAAAAAATGCTGATGTTCTATCATTCTACTTCTCACACCACAAAATATTTAAATGCAAGATGGGATGGTAACTTGGCAGTTGGAAAACCTTTGTGTGTTTTAGCAAATACACAAATACATGAACTAGATAATATGGAGGTACGGATATTTGTTTTGTTTCTGTGTAGAGTAGGGCTGAGAAAAATAGTGATAGCTCATAAGTCAAGGAACTGATTGATATGCAAAACACTCCCCCTATTAAACTGATAGTTTCTGTACTTCAAGGTCAGGAAAAGTGAGGAACACTGAAGGAAGAGTTAAACTTTTTATGTGGACCAGAAATGGTGGTTATGTACATTTGTAAATGAAATGAGACTGCTCACTAGCATCTGTACAAATCTTTTATACAATATTTGGATTTATGAACATCTTCAGGATATTTATACTATAGATAATCCTTGGTTTACAATAGCAATTGGGGTTGGAATTGCTATTGTTAAGCAATGTAATTATAAAGTACAATGTCATCTGACTGCATCACTTGCAATGGCAATGCTAGCAATCTCAGTTGCCCTCCTTAAACAAAGACCATGTGGGTAGTTAAGCAAGGAACCATATGTCTGCAACTTCTGACTTTCTGATGATTTTCCCATTGACTTTGTAGGAAGGTGATAGGGAAATTGCAATTGGAAATTGCAATCACATGGCCATAGCCAGAGATGAAATGCTACTGGTTCGGACCGGTTCACCCAAACCGGTAGTAATAAAAGCTACCGCTTCACATGAACCGGTAGTAAAAAAATGCTACTGGTTCAGACGAACTGGTATTTCTGACGATCAGCTGTGCCGCGCAATTTATATTTGGAAATATAAATAGCAGGAAATCCTGCTTTCTAGCAAATCTAAATCGTGTGACACAGCTGTTCCCCCTCCTCGCTATTCTACTTATCTTAGAAAAGGCTTAAGCCACCTTTTTCAGCGCTGTGTGGTTGCACCTGTGGTGCGCCTGTGCGCGCAAAGTATACGTTTGGCATGCAGCACGCATGCATCCGTGCAGCGAACTGGTAGCGAAGCGAACTGGTAGCAGACCTCAGAGCATTTCACCCCGGCCATAGCTAACTGCAATGTCATAGTCATAACTGGACACCAAGCACCTGGATTGTGATCACATGACCAAGAAGAAGCTGCAACAGCCAGAACTACAAGGATCCTTTATAAGCATCATTCATTCAATGCTGGATAATTTTTAATGGTTGTAACCCAAAGGCTACCTGTAACAAGAACTCATATCATCTGCCTTATTTTATTTGACATTATTTTATTAAATGGTAATGAAGAGAAATAATAGGTATTGTCAACCTCCTAGGCAAGATTAGGAAAAAGACTAAACTGATTTTTGAATAAGATATCTTTAACATTAGCCTTGGGGTATCTTGGAAACTCCAAGAAAAATTTTCAACTCTCATCTATAATGAGACTGAGTCTCTTTGAATGACTTGAAATGCTTCTTTTTAGTTTTCTTGCTAGTAGGGTTGTGTTTCCATTTATAAAATAAGCTACTAACAAACTCCTCTTCTACCTTTTGATTCTGTTTATCCTGCCTCCATTATTTTTCCAATCTCCGTAGAATCTGTCACAGTTGGAATACTAACAAAATGAACATTGCATAATAAATGCACAATATATTTTTGAATTACACTATAATGAGTATTGTTAGAGGATAGAAATACCTTTGGAGTACTTCCAGACAATGGTAGGAACAGGATAGCCTTCTGCAGAGCAGTTGAGGATCACAGCTTTTCCATAAATCCCATCTTGATCAATTGGCTGAACCACAAATCTGGGGGGAACTAAAAGAAAACAAAGAAAGTAGGATACAATCAAGTAGGACACTTTAACTATAATTAGACCACTTACCCATGATTTTTTTCTTAATAATTTCTATTGATCCTCAATCAAAATATTATTTGGCAAATGATATTAGAAACACATTTGGCAATGAAAAGCTTGCTAATAAGAACTGCCATACTCAGTTGAATGCATTAATGTCCATATTAAATAATATGCCCACACCTGATAGGTCCAGAGGTCTCTTCTATAGCAAGAGAGGGAATCAATGGTGTTTATTATAATTTTCTGTGGCTTCCTAATAAACCTTTTGTATAATTACTGGGTTTTTTTTTAAATCTAAGAATGCGGCCTCCTGTTTGCAGAGCTCTGGCTTTTATCTCCAGCTTTCTTTAGTTGGTTACCATAGATATAGCAAGAACATACATCTTAATGTTATACTTTGAGGCATTTAATTCTTCAGATCATAACATGGTGTAGGACATTGCTGTAGTTGAGATGTTAAAAAAGCCAAGTTAATGTCTCAGCAGAATTGCAAATTTTAAATAGTTGAATTTACAGTATCCTTAAATACCCATATAGTGACTAATAAACTATAAAGACTTATGGAAGCCTTGTGTATAAATGCAGAAAACAATTTTCAAATGCTTTTATACATAGAGATTGATTCTTTAAAAAGAGAGCAAATTAATATCCTGAAAAGAGAAAATACAGTATGTTCTTGCTGAACTGATTTTCCATTGAAATCAGGGAAACAATTTTGGATGGACAGGAGGAAGATACATTTAATTTTGCAATGGAGTTGTTGCAAGAGTACAATATATTAATGGACCAAGACTGCCTTTTTATAAAGCTACCATTAGTATTTTTTGATTACATGTTCAAATTTATCATTCTCTTGGACAGAAGGATTTTGGTATTCTCATTTTCTCTGGAGTTTCACTGGAAAGATTAAAATGCATGTAAGGTAAATGATGCAATTTGGAATGTTTGCTATTGTTGAAATACTAGTACCATATATTGGGGTGTTGCAAATTTAAATTAATAAAAGAAATTCCATTATTCAAAACAAGTTTTATAAAATGTTAGCACAAATGAGAAGTCACTTTCGCTGGTTTAGGAAAACTCTTTGTTATAAATTGTCATGAGCCAGCTATAAGAAATTTGGCTGATCTCAAAAAACTAAGCAGAGTTAGATGTGGTTCAGTGGTGGGTTGCTACCGGTTCTCCCCGAGTTGGGCGAACCGGTAGCGGTGGCGGGAGGCTCTGCCCACCCGCCCCGACCCTTCTGCACATGTGCAGAAGCGTTGTGCACACACACACACACGCACGAGCGAACTCGTAGCAAACTAAATTGAAATCCACTACTGATCTGGTTTATATTAAAATGAGAGACCACCAAGAAAAAAATAGACCACTGGGTTTCCAAAAGCAGCAATGGAAACTACTTCTTCAATGCTGCTAAAGATGACATGAAGAAAGCCAGGATATCTTAACCTCAACTTGTGGTGGCCCCATGATTGAAGGAAAATTTCTGGCTGAGCTTTAGGGGCATGGAAAGTGCTTGGGAGGAGGCATGGGCTTGTTTTCTATGTCTTCTCAAACAAGCATTTTATACTTGTAGATTGCCTCTTAGATACAAATGTATACTTTCTTAGGACCATGCACACTATACCATACACAGTTTCTTTAAAGAGATGTCAACATGTGCAACATCTTATCTGCTCTAAGGCACTTCTTCAGCTTTGAATCTGAAGCACAGTACATCCCTATTAAACTTGAAGGACACTCTGGGATAAATGGAATACCTCTGCCATTTCTTCCTCTTTGGAATGGATGTATTTTTTTTTCCCAGGAGGCATCATTCCAGTATATTTTATTTTCACAGAAAAGTTTTTCAGCCATGTAACAAGCAAACCCTTACAAGTCTTTTAATTTTTAAATGTTTTTTTTATAATGATTTTTTAAAATGTATTGTGAGCCGCCCTGAGTCTTCGGAGAAGGGCGGCATATAAATTGAATTAATTAAATTAAATTGAATTAATGGTTTCATGGTTTTTCTGCAGCCTACTGCCTAGTTCAACTATTGTTGCTTTGCTTTTACTTCAAAAAAAAATTGCCTATAATTTGAGATCAGAGTACTCTTTTAAACTACTCTGATCTAAAGACCACTTGACTATTTTGGATTCTTAACAAGGGAGGGATACAGTGACTGCACAAATATAAAAAAAATCAGGGCAAATCTTACACCCAGATCAACAATGCTCATTTCCTTCATCTCATACTTCTCCTATGACTCATTGACCAATCAGAACCGTTTTGGGAGCAAGGGGCCTTTGACACAGAATTGTTGGCCTTCCAACAGAGCTGTTGCTGTTTGCCATTGAGGTCTTTTAATTCATATCCCATGACAAAATGGCTTTAGAGAGCAGTGCCTAGCAAATAGACTGGGAAGGCTGTGCGATCACAGATTCATTAGCCAATGAGAACTTGAGCAGATCCCTGCCCTTGATTGTGTTATTGCCAGCACGGCCATTGAGTCATTGTAGGTTGTCTTCCTGGCAATATTTGTGTAAGGAGAAGCAGGAAAATTTCACTTTCATACCAGAATACCTAAATATAATCCCTGGCAATCTAAGTTAGAGGCTGGAGAAGACACAGAGGTGATATCATGAGAACAATCTGCCTGATAAAAATTGTTTTTAACAAAACTTCTGTTACATTAAAAAAAAAAAGCTATTACATAAATGGTTTCTCAAAATGTAACTATTGTTAAAATCACTTTGGTTAAACATGTCTGCTTGGGCAGGGGTTTGGACTACATGACCTACAAGGTCCCTTCCAACTCTGTTAATCTGTTATCTGTCTTTTGTAAATGTACATATTTTTGTTTAGACCTTTGAATACAGAATGGAGTAGACATTAGTAAACTTAATCCATTCTTTTCCTTTACCACTACTAAATCCATTTTAATGGACTCTAGTATTTCACTCTCACTGTATCAGAAATCTCTCTTATTTTTAAATGTACAAAGTTTATGCTTCATGAATATGGATTAGTCTGCTTATTCTATTTTCTTTGAATAATTTTATTCTGTTCTTCCTTTCCCCTTTTATTGCACTTTGGCAATTCAGTTTCTAATGACAAATAAATGAAATTGAATATTTCACAAGATTATTTCAGTACTGCTCTTGAACTGTTTAACACCCTCAAGAGTAAATGCCAACTTAATTTTTACATGACACCTTTTCCTTACCTTTATAAGAACCTTCACAACTCTTTCTCAGGCTCTCTAGCTCAGACTCAGCAGAAGCTATTTAATGCATCATGGCTGGATAACAGTTACTGTTGCAGATATCTCATTGTAAGAAATGTTTGCCTTTATCAATGTAAGAGCATTTGTCCTGTTTTATACTCATTGCAGTTTAAATCTGCTACTATCTGATTTTCTCACCAATTTTTGATTTTGTTGCTTGTCTGTTGGCATAAAAGATATCCTGCTTTGGGAAAATCTAATTCCCAATGTAACTCCTACACTCTGGAATACTTTTCACCAGACATTTAATTATCAGATAAAGTAAACTACCCAAGAGGTATAATAAGAAAAGCTTATTTCCATTATCCATGTTTTAAAAGTAAACGTAGGGATAGCTTTATTTAAGTTATATTTCATTTATATATGTAAAATAAATATGCTAAACATTGTATTAATTTATTGGCTCCAGCAATCTACGGTATATAGTGATCCCATGAGAACAGATTGTTTAGTTACCTCCCAATAAACAGCAGTAGCCTAAGATAAATCTGAAAATTGTATTATTTCCATTATTATCTATGCTTTTTTCCAGTTGCATAAATAAATAAACAAATTTAGTACAAAACAATTTTTTTAAAGATATTTTCTTCAAATACATGTTTCTCATAAAAAAGTGACAAAATAATTTTTGGAATCTTATGATTTTATAATGCTATATTTATGCAATAGTTAAACATTTTGCCCTATTATTTATTTTAACTATTTTTCAAACATTCTCATTTTTACAAAGCTTAAAATATTCCTTAATTATTCCACATCCTATATTAAAATAAATGGTTTTAAGACCTACATAGTAAGGGGTTATTTGAAATTTAGTTCAAAAAGTTTAAGAGTTATTTGAATGAGTAGTCCTTGACTTATGATCACAGTTGAAATAAAAACCTCAGTCTCTAAACAATATTATCATCAGTGAGTCATCATGAGACTGAACCCATGTTTACAATCTTTTTTGCTGCCGTTGTTAAGTGAATCTGGCTTCCACATTGTTAACACACATTGATTTTGTTTGTTGGAAGCTGGCTGTGAAGGTCACAATAGTGATCACATAAGCTTGGGACACTGAAACTGTTGTAAATACATGCCCATTGCCAAGCACCTGAATTGCAATCCACTGACTGTGGGGATGTTGCTATGGTTGTAAGTGTGAATCCCAGTCATAAGTAACATTTTCAGCCCTATTATAATTTCAGACAATTGCTAAATGAATGGTTATAAGTCAAGGACATCTACAGTCCTGACTTTTGGTTAATTCATTTCGATTTTTCTTTTTTATCTAGAAATGTTGTGAACTGCTCAAGCAAATTCTGCTACAATAGAGACAGCAACAATAAATGTATTCTATGGCTAGCTATTGTCTTCAGTTCGAAGCTTCATAATCATCAGAATATATTCATGCCATTTATGTAACTGTCCATTGTACTGTATATTTGAGAATTTTGAGAATTTTGTACAAATTAAGCTGGGGCTAAGTTGAATTTAAATAAAGTATACATATGAAAAGTTGCATAGAAAAACACGTATTACAGAGAGTCATGGAAGTTGCTTATGCAAATATGTACAAATTTGTATAATAGCAACTGCATTTTTTTGTGGATTTGTTTAAAATAAATTATTAGTTATGAAAAAGACAGAAGAGCAGGATAATACCTACTGACTGGTAGTGCTAGGAGCCTCTGTCTGGACGCACCTGGATTTGACTCACAGGCTGCCAGTTGAGAAACATCACCATAGCATCACAGTGATAGGAGACACCTTCTTAGTAGCTGAACAACTGATATTTCCAAAACATAAGGCAAGACAGTAATAATCCTTTATTGTAGCAGAATTATACAGCTTGCTTATCAATTACATAATTTGTTATTAAAAATTGACAGGCTCAAAGCTAAAATGCTCTAAAAATAATTAATCATGTTTCAAATTCTTTCAACTCACTTTAAAGATTTTCTGTATATTAAAACTTGCAGTTTCCAAGTGTAAGAACAGACATTTCCTGACCATTGATAGCATTCACTTGTAACATGTTCAGACAAAAGAAAGGTGCAATTATTATGGTATATGTAAGAAGACAAAAGAGCAATTATTTTACATTACAGTAGCATTTAGTTCTCATCACAACTGGTGTTTCATAGTATTATTGATGATACTATTGCCACCATTATATTTACCTCTAACAATTAATTGGCTTTGGTGCTCCACAGCTGCTGCATCATTTCTTGCTATACAGGTATAGTTTCCATTGTGCATAAGGGAAAGATTAGAAATCCTTAAGGAGCTGGTGAAGTCAATGTTGTCAATGGTCACCCCAAGACTGGCTGGGATTGGCCTACCATCCTTCTGCCAGGTGATTGTAATAGGCAAGTCCCCTGAGACCACAACGCATGGAATGAAGACTCGCTGGCCAATAGAGAACCTCGGAAATTCAAAGGGCTGGATAAAAGGTGGCACTGGAACAAAATAGAGCAAATATGTTGGTCAAAAAAGTGTGACTATAAAAATTATCAGAAGAAAATATTTCATCTGCAAGACACCTAGCATGCATTAGGGGAAGCCATAACAAATACCGGTAATTATTAATTATCAAATCTTTACCAATAAAGTGCTGGTGTAAGAGCTGAAGCTGGCAATGGAGGAACCATAAATTCTGAGGTTAGACAAGACTTTTGTATAAACACATCTCATCTGTCCAAGACCTTTAAACAAACTGGCAAGAAACTTACCTTGGAAAAGAAAAAAGCAACACTTTGAGCTCTCTACTCTGTGTTAAGGCTTCTTCTATTTTTTGTTTGTTTGTTTGTTTGTTTTTGCCTGCAATAAAAATTCTAATCTAGCTGAGCTGGGGCTGAGGGGTTTCTGCCCTATTAAGCTAATTGTTGAATAAGGGGTTCTGCGTACAATAACTAACTGCAAAGTGTTAACTTTTCTGAGTCAAGATTTCAGTTAGGACATTTAGTGATCGATAAGTATGAAGGGCACTGTCTAGAAAAGGTTGATTAAAAATCAGGTATCAATCATAGGTGGCTTTTCAATATTGTTCACAACATAGTATGAAAACAAGCTTTAGCAATTATTTTTGAGGTCAGAATTTCTTGCCCCATTGAAGTTATCTGTCTGATGGGACAGCAGTAGCTTTTATGTATTTTTCAAAGCTCTCATGACTGGAAATTCTTGCTGGAGATGGCATGCAAACTGGAAATGCCAAGTTACATTTAACATCTCCATTGCATTTGTTTTTGACAGACAATTATGGGATGGTTCAGAGAAATACATTCAAATACATAAACCTGACCATAATCTATGATAGTTGCATATCACCTTCACTTCCATTTTTACAAGCACTTTTAAATAACATTCATGTTTTACCTTTTACTGTCACGTGTACACTCTGGCTAGTTGACAGTTGGGGCTGAACCAGAACATTGCATGTGTATTCTCCCTCATCCACCTCCTTCTGCACATCTGAGAGCTTAAGTGTTCCATTGTTTTCAAATGCTACTTGACGATGGTTAAAAGGGAGCAGATTAGAATTCTTATACCACTTGATTGAGTAATAAGGGTAACCAATGACACGACAGTGAATGAAGGTATCCCGCCCTGCTATTGCTGTAATGTTTTTCATTGGCCGAATGCTGGCTGGTCCTGTAAAGATAAAAGCAAGCTCTTGAAAATAATTTAGAGGTATAATTAGTTAAGAAAATATTGTTTTCTTCTAAATATATAATTCTTTTAGATCCTGAAAACTGCAACTTACTACAGTTCTCTCCACTCTTTTAACTTCCTAGAGCAACATAAGGGGCTCTTCCTATTTGTTTTACACTTTTCAATTTTTCAAATTCTACAACAGCCATATTAATTAATGAATTAATTAAACTACACATTTGGATCACTAAATCATTTATGATAAAAATCTGTATTGAATTATAAATTAAAAGATAGTGTCATTTCAGTTAATGCCAGAGAAGACAAGACAGATAGAAACAGTAGCCTGATATTTCTAAAATTAGGGTGAATAGTTATATATAACTGTTTCTAACCTGTTGTATTCCAGAGATTTTGGTTGAAAATTTATATCACTCTCAATCAGCAGTTCAATGGGTGTGTGTATTCTAAGTGAAGAAGTATGCTCTGATACATTTGGCAGAATGAGGACTGAATTACAGATATAAACTGCAATATTCTTAACCTGGATACTTACAATGAATGTTAAGTTCTTAAAAGAAAAAAAGTCATGCAAGCAAAACTAATTCTATAGTAAGTTAAAATTAGCTGAATTGATTAGTATGTATAACATACATTCACAGTATGTGCTGTGCTTATTTTGTGTAATGGTCTGTTAGTCCAATCTGACACACATTTACTCAAAGGTAAGCCTATCAGTGATGCTTATTCTGAAGAAGCTGTCCTTAGCATTATAGTCTTATACCATGATTCCTTTATGGGAAAAATAGAGATAGCATTGGAAAAAAAAAATCTTAGCATTCAATAGCAAAGTTCATAAATGCATTTATGTTTTATTTTACTATAATGAGGTTTAATTTTTTTTTTTTTTTTGGAGGAGCTGATTTGACAAGCACCTCTTACGTTTATTCGAGCCTGGTAGAGGACGACTCCAGCTGAGTTGTTGGCAGTACAACGATATACTCCGCCATCTCGGACCTGAGTACTGGAGATGTTTAGGTAGCTGACTACATTCCCCTCAGAGGTGATGATCTGACTAATACGGTGGTTCCCATCTTTAATGATGGGATTTTCATCCAAAGTCCATGTGATGGTAGGAAGAGGAGTTCCTTTCACGTTGCACATCAAAGATACACCCTCTCCTGGGCTTACTACTTTCTCACTGAAGGCTGAAATTATTTTAGGAGTTCCATCTGTAGAAGGAAAGGTATCTAAGTTAAAAAGAGAAGATACATGAGACAATTTATCACAAAAGGGTAAAATCTGTTTAGCTCCTCTGTTTTAAGAAAAAAGAAGCCAAATAAATGTTTAAATGTTTCAAAAAATAGCACAATTAGTTCTCATTTTGACTCATACTTATTGCTTATTTTTTCCCTTTGCTATTTTATATGAATATTATTCCTTTCAATCAATTAGGCTAATTATAAATTTAGAGGTTAATGTAGTGAAATAAACTAGGAAGGGAACTAGGAAGGGAATTATTTAATGTACCAAAGTTAACATAGCAAAATTTAACAAAAGTAGAACTCAATATATCCCCAACCCATGCACAAGGTCTTAAAGAAGTTATCACATGCCTATAAATCATACTGTATATATATATATATATATAAAACTGTGGCAGTTTCTTTATCTCAACTATTTCTTTAAACTCCTCATTAACCGTCTGTGGGTAACAAGTGCTTTTAGTATTAACACTAATTGTGTGCGTATGCACATTTATTTAGCAGTGTTCTCCTGCAAGAAATAAGTGTTTAACAAAATAGCTGGGAAGAACAGAAAGAAGGGGCAAAACCTGAAACTTCAGATTGGTAGAAATATGTCCAGAGAATATTTTTTACTCTGAATGAGCTTAATTCTTTAGAGACAGAAGAACTACATCATGAATACTGAGGAACATATTGATGGATAGGATAAACTTTTATATATTATCTTTAAGGAATCCTGGAGAAGGGTGAAGTGCGGAAAACATCAGAAAATGTTCCTGTTTTCAGATGGGGACAAAAAAGGATCTGAAGGACTTGTTAATCATAGTAGTACTTTGAGAGCAAGATTTGTGAAGAACTCTTCTTCATTGCACAAGTTTGTTGTTTTTTCAAATAGCTTAATTTGTATTTATGCACTGAGCTCCAGGCTGGATTTGTTGGCTAAAATGGCCTTTCCCATATTTTCTATTTTTAATACTTGATGGAGAAATTTTGAAAATCAATGAATCAGTAAAATAAAATGAAAATTCCACACAAATATAACTTGTTCAATTCCCACTAGAACCAAATGTGTGATCGGCTTAGAAGAAAGTTGTGAGCTCTAACCCCTAACATTAGTCTGAACAGGCATGTATGTAAATATAAAAATTACAGTGTTCCCTTATTGAATCTAGAAGTCTAGTATATAACACCTGTATGTAACAACCCAACCAAATACATACCTCTAACCTGTCTGAAGTAAGGGTAGATGATACACCAGCATTTAGGAATTAGTACTGGCTTAGTTATTTTAAAGACACCTTTGATATATTCCCCTCCTGAGACATTCCAAACAAAAGAATAAAACTCATGTTGACTAGTTCATGATTCCTTTTCTCATGACAGTTGTAGCCACATATACTTTAGGGGTAGAAGATTATTATGAGATATGAACAAATTGTAACCATTTGCAAGAGTTTGCTAAAATTCTGTTTGCATCTATTTATAACACCATATCCATCAGTGTTTTGGAAAGGAGACTATACTTTGGCTTATTGTGGAAAAATATCTTCAAATTTAAAAAAAATATTTCAGAAACTTGGAATTATAAAGTTAACAAGGAATTAATAAATGAATAATTTCATGTTATCTCTTTTAGGTAGCACAATATTTAGGGAGATTTAAAAATGCCTGAGAATGCATAAATCTCATGCCAAATAATTGCTCACAATCTGCAAAAAGGACCTGATTAATGATTGTATATGGGATAAATTTAGTTTTCACTGTAACTATAATTACAATGAATTAGGACAGACCTATACATTACAATTTCTGTGGGGATCATTAGAATTACTACTACTACCACTACTACTGCTGCTAATAGCTAATAATGTCCTCAAAATGCTATACCATTTTGCTCCAATGGGAATTGCAGTTTAATTCTATCAAAGCAATCACAACAGATATAACAAGTTCAAAGTGCACACTCTTTGCATGAAATTCTTTGAACGCTCAGGTCTGCAATAACCACTGGATCATTGGAAGTGATACTTTCATTTTCTTTTGTCTTGGTTTAAGAGAAGGCATAGAGACCTTGTCACACTGAAGTGTTTTTCAACTGTAAGTGTCATTTAATGAACACCCAGGCAAAGGTGGGAAAGCCAGTGACAGTGTCCTCTATTGCAGTATGATTCACAAGGGATTCCAGAATTCTAATATTTTCTGCATGAAACCTATAAAGATGTCAACTGGGGCATTCAGTACTCTGTAGCAAACCATTAATTCTTTTTCTGTAGCACTCCCAGTTTTTAATCTTATCTGAATAAGCGAGGAAGTGTTAAACCAAAAGGGCTGCATGCCTGAGACTTCCGCCTCTTCTCAAACCCTTCCCATCTTCTCCCTGTGTATTAGCACTGTCATTTCCCAGAAGACAAACAGCTACAGGCTTTTTATCCTGAAGGGGAATTGATACACAACTAATAAATCAGAGAATGTGCTTAGTCTGTTCCTTTGCCCTCCACTTTAAAAAAAAATTAAAAAATTATACAAGTGACAGGCTTTTTGCAGATGAAAGCAGACATTATTTTCCCAGGGAGACCTATGTCTTAGAAATCCCCCCTGCTGTTGTACTCTGATAACCTGCACTCTCTCAGCATCATTAAAGATTATCAATATGCTCTTTAAGGCTTTCTTAGTCATGGGAGATGGTTGCCAAGGTAACTAGGTCCACACAGGTAATATCCTCTCTTTTCTGTGACTATTCTGAAATTAGTTTTCATGCCATGTTTGCACTATAGCCTCATTAGCTCTAAACAAATTTATTATTTTCTTCACGATTATTAGGGGGAACATGGTGTCAGCAATTTTCAGTGATTGCAATGGTTTCAAATAACGCTGGGATGAAATGTACAGAACACGTGTGGACTTTTTTCTTCTTACTCAGTGGACACATTTATTAATAGGGTCAACAAGTGGTTGTTCAAAAACATTACAAATACATTCAAGAATTTGTTTCTGAAGGATAGATACTAATGAATTGCCATGTTATTGTTACCTTGATTTGTCAAATTCTGTATAAATACTAGTTGGTCTTACTACTAAATAATTATCAACAGCATCTAAGACAGTGATGGTGAACCTTTTCGGCACCAAATGCCAAAAAGGTTGTGCAAAACGTCGCATGCTCTTTGGGGCTGCGCTCTGGAAAAGCCGAACTTCTGGGTTCTAGCGCGCATGCGTGCCAGATGATCAGCTGGCTGGCACCCATGTGCAAGCAGGTTTTTGGCACTGCAGCACGTGCAAGGGGATCGTGCTCCAAAAAAGCCGAACTTCTGGGTTCTGGTGCGCATGCACACCCAAAAATCAGCTGGTCAGCGCACATGCGCACACTGATTTTCAGCACTACCGCGTGGGCAAGAACAACTGATCGTCGCATACGCATGCACGCCAGAAACCCAGAAGATAAACAGTCAAGGCTGTGCGTGCCCAGCAACATGGCTTTGCATGCCACTTTGGGCACACGTGCCATAGGTTCGCCATCACGGATCTAAGAGGTCACCTGGAGATGAACATAAAAACAACAGCTGTTTTGAAAAGGAGTACCTATGGGAATAATGTTAGGAAGATGATGATTTTCTTTTTAAGATATAATCGAATGGAGAGTTGTAGAGGAAAGCAACCACAATATCACAATATGAATGCTAACATACTTGTGAAGAAGGCACAGAAGAGGCTGTACTTCCTGAGAATGCTCAGGAAGATAAATCTATCTCAGCATCTACTTCTGTCCTACTATCGCAGCACCATTGAGTGTGTCCTGACATACTTCATTCTTGCATGGTATGGGAACAGCTCTGTAGCGGATAAAAAAGCTCGACAGAGAATCATTAAAACTTCCTAGCATATCATCGGACTCCAGCTACCAGCCGTGGATGACATCTTTGAATCTCACTGTTTGAGAAAGTTGCATAACATTCTCAGAGACTCTTCCCATCCTGCTTACAATCTTTTTGGATTGTTGCCTTCTGGCAGAAGATACAGAACAATTAAAACTCGGACTACACGTTTTCTGAATAGTTTTTATCCCAGAGCTATAATTGCACTCAACAATGAACTAAAGGACCACCATCAGTGAGCTGTTGGACAGTATTACTTGGTCTGCTGTGTGGATGTTTGGGTGGTTTAGGGGTGGAGAATTGGGTGGGAGTGTGTTTGGGGATTGTTATGTGTGTTGGACCTGGTCTTTGGGTGTTAAGTGAATTTCGTTGTACAGGTATACTGTGTATACACGTACAATGACAATAAAAGTTATTTATTTTATTTATCTAAATAAGAGAAATTTGGTTGGTACTGATTTTATTGTTGGCTTATCATATTGGCACTAATCTTTTACAATATCCTGTCAACTATTCCATACGACATTGTCATTCATATATATATCTTACAGAATATGCTTATAATCAGCAGCAAATGGCCAGAGTCAGTAATTCCTCCTATCAGTATATAATTATATCAGTATATAATTGCTGAATTGTAATTTCTTGTATTAGGGAGCTGGCACCAAGTTACTGAGAATCTGCAAGAGATTGTTTTGGTCTATTCTGTCATCCGCCATCAAAGATCTTGGGGTATAAAACTAATGTGAAATAAATAAATCAGCAAACTTGTTTTTCTATTTGGTCATTTTCTCAACTATCTATCCATGCTACCGTGAAAGTTTATCTGACTATTCAAAACAGAACACAAAATAACATAACTAGATCATCATTTTAAAAATGGTGATCCATGAAGTCTGGATCCATATCCAGACTTCATCCTTGGCAGGTGGTACTACTTTAACTAGCTGAACTACTGTTTGTTCCCAAGACTTGATCGTCAAAATGTAATCAGTTAACTCCACTTTTTCAAATGAGAGGAAAAAACAAAAACAAACAAAAATAAACCCAAATACATTTTTATAGAATTGGATGGAATGAAGGCTTCTGACATTTAACCTTAGTTACAAGGTGGTCACATTTAAGTGCCTTATCTTTCACTGGTTTGATTCAGCAGCCTGCAACATCTCTGGCAATAAAAAATGAATTCCTCATGATGCAAGGCAAGGCAAGAAAGCTGCAGAGTAATGTAAGTAACCCCATAAGCAAAACAAAGAAAAGAAATAGGAAAACAGCACTTTCTGTTTTCCTGTAACAATGGAATGGAATGGAATGGAATGGAATAGCTTCATTTGGCCATGTGTGATAAGACACACAAGGAATTTGTCTCCAGTTCAGAAGCTCTCAATGTAGATGCAAAACAACAGACTATTAATAATCATACCATAATATGATATCAATAAGAGGGGGTAGTAGAGAAGATGAGAAGGTTGATAATGATGATGATGATGATGATGATGATGATGATGATGATAATAATAATAATAATAATAATAATAATAATGATGATGATGATGATAATAGTACAGCCATACAATGTGGGGTAAATAAACATAAAACAATATTGTGAGGATTAGGTGTTCAGCAGAGTGGTGGCATGAGGGAAGAAACTGTCCCTGTGTCTAGATGTTTTGGCATGCAATGCTCTATTAGTAGCATTCTGAGGGGAGGAGTTAAAACAGTTTATGTCCAGAATGTGAGAATTCTGTAGATATTTTCTCAGCCCTCCTTTTGACCTGCGCAATATATGGGTTCTTAACTAGAAGTCAATGGCCGGCAACCTCGTGGGTGCCCAAAACAGAGATGGGAAGACAACATCAACAAAGATATGCAAGCCATGGGCCTGCGCCCTGGAGATGCAGCTGACTGTGCAAAGTGGTGTTCAATGATCCGAAAAGCGGACCCTGCACTTGCTGAAATAGAAGGCGAAGGCGAAGAAGATGAAGAAGATGAAGATGAAGATGAAGATGATGATGATGATGAAGAAGAAGAAGAAGAAGAAGAAGAAGAAGAAGAAGAAGAAGAAGATGATGATGATACAGGTTGAAGGCAGGCTGGTTGCAATCATTTTTTTCTACAGCTCTTAATTATCTGGTGGAGTCTATACCTGTCCTGTGTAGTTACTGTATCAAACTAGATAGTTATCAAAGTACAGATGACAGACCCAATAATTCTTCCATAGATTTGTTAAAAAAATTATCAAAAGTAAAAAAAAAAACAACCCTCAACAACTTGATGTAGAAAAAGAAGGTTTTTTTAATAAGGAAATAAGAATTCCAGGAAACTGTAGGCTATGATACTGTAACCTATACACTGCCACAGTCCAGACACTATTTCAACTCACATCAGCTTTGACATGTTTCAGACACCTCTTAAAAGGCCTTTCTTATGAGTGCTACAATGGTAGGTTTTGAATAAATATTTTTGAAATTTATACTTTAAAAGTAATTTTATATTTTATTAAAATATATGAACATTATTTCTAGATGTCTTTTGAGAACTGTGAAAAGGACAGACATGGATTAGCTTTAAGTGTTTACATACATAAAATAACGACTGACCTTCTAGCACCACTTGAACATAGTCTTGTGCAGACATCTTGTCTTTGCGTACAAAACATTGGTATGCCCCGCCATCACTTTTGGACATGCCATCCATAATAAGAGTCTCATGATTGACCCCAATGATTCTCACATTATTGCCAGTATTAATGATTTCTCCATTTCGATACCAGAAGAGTTCATGGTCATCTGTTCCAGACACACTGCAGGACAAGGACACTCGACTACCAACGCTGCTCTTAACTTTCCGAGGACTGATGGTGGCTTTTAGAGGCTCTGGAAGAAGACATCAAATTCAGTCATTTTATTTTGGTCACCAATGAGCAAACCAAAAGAGTAATGTTTTACTCACTAAATACCAATACAGGCTATAAATGATAGAAATGATTCATTAAAAAAAACATACTTCAAATAGCAATGTTCTCAGAAAGGGTAGGTCAAATTATTTTGGCTTCTGTAGGAAAATAGCAGCATGACAAGCCTTCACCATATGAGTGAGCTAAATTGGTAACAGGTGGATTTTAGAGCAATATTATTGAGAATAACAAAGAGAGCAAGCTGCATGGCATACATAAATCTATCTATTTACAGCCACAGATTCACAAGAAATGACTTTGAGTTGCCACTGCTACCCACTCTTATGACACCTGAAATGGTTAATTCATTCTGTCTAATGTGGTCATGGGATTTAATCCAAAGCTTAATAAAGATAACCAGACGGAATCACGCTGCACCAAATAAATATTTAAAACTAACTCCTACAGCCCATGGAGCAGTAAGACAGAGTCCAGAAAATTTTTATTTTTATTTTATTTTATTTATTTTATTTTATCTATTTTTAGTTTGTAGAATCTTCTCCTTTTTGCTTATATCATTAGTGATATGCAGAAATATACTCTTGTGTGGAGTATAGTAATGGTTTTATTTTGAGCATGCTCAGCAGTGTTTCTTGAGTTAGTTTTTTTTCCCCCCAGATATCTAAGGGCTTGTTTTAGACACATTAGTTGGGAGAAATCATATATTTTAAAAGAAGCAAATGTTAATAATCTTATACTCATGCAGATCATGCAAATGTAATTTTAACACTTTTAACACAAATTGTGCCTTCTTAGTGATCTAGCTAGAATTTTGCATAGTGAAAGCAACTAACCAAAAGTAACTTCACTGTTATAAACTATTAGAAATACTTTCTAAAAATATTATGAGAGCTATTGGAAAAGATTTGTTCTCAACACTATGGCAAACATGTTGACATACATTCTGAATACACATGGGACATGTTTTCAAGAATGACAGTTAATGTCTTCTTAATCTATATCTTTTTTGTGAGATATGTCAGAAAACAAACAGGACCACTAAGCCCTCCTTAGTTTTGTCTTTAGACAAATTGTGAAGAAAAAAAGCAAATGATGTTCTGGTGAAAATTCAAAGTAAATTCTTTAATCAAAATAGCCCTGAAAACAGCTGAAACTGGAAGACTATGCTTCCAGAATAAAAGGTGATTTCTAAACAAAATATTCCTATATTTTCCTCCTACAATCAAATTACCAATGGAAAAAGGATTCCAGTTGTCACCTTTCAAGTAGATCAGAGCAGAGTGAGATTTGGGGTGGGGGGGATAGCTGGTAACAACATTACTTAGGTTTATCTTTTCAGGAGCTATGAGGATACCACAAAGTTGTGAGTGAAGGATTTGGAGACTGCCTTGCAAGGAGCCAGCAGTGGCCAATCCACTGCATTCTATGGTGTGTAGGCAGATATCCTATTTCACCAAGACTGTACCAAAGTATTCTGACACTAATATGGATAAGCAATTCAAATAATTATTTCGAGTATTTCTAGTATTGGGTGTAAAGCAGAGAGTTTTCCTGAGGATAACAAGGTAGTCTAATTCTATAATGAGGTGGTAAATGAAGATCTGCTAGCTAGTTCTGCTCTTTAGTACTAGAAGGCAAATGAGTGCCCTGAGAGTCTGATATGTAGGTTCTCCACATAACACAGAACCAGGAAGTTATAGAAAGTTCTTGGTCATTCAGGAAGCCTATATAAATGCAGCATATGCTTTCAAGTTTGACTCCATTAAACAGAATTTTGATTGTATTCTAGTAATCTGCAGACACTTACGTTTTACATGCAAACGGCCTATCACTTCAGCTGTACCGTAACTGTTCCAGACTTCACACACATAGTTGCCTGAGTCTGATGGACGTGTATTTTCTATCAGAAGGCCTGTCACCATTGGCCGGAACCGGCTGTCAGGTTCCCAGGGAACATTGTCCTTCAGCCAGCGATACTTTGGTGCTGGGTGTCCAGATGCTTTGCAAGGCAGCTCCACTTGCTGTCCTGCCATGGCTTTACGATGTTCAAATCCATCCAGAATAGATGGAGCCGAGTTTGCTGGGTCTGGAAAACAGAGTAGCTACATCTTAGATATCTAATAGAATTAACTGCTTGATCTATATGAACATATAGGAAATCTGTTTTTTTTTTTAGTCTGCTGCCATCCAGATGCATTGGCACTGTAACTCAAATTCTATGTTGGCTATACCCAGCTCATTTGGAAGCCATCAAAGTAGTGAATATTGATTTTGATTAATATTTAGTTAGTGCCAGTGCCTTGAAGACTTGGTGAAGAAGAGGCAGGACCATAACATTTCTATTCAATCATTCCCCATCCACACACGTTAAAGAATTAAAATATGAATTAGCTTGATAAAACGAATGCTTGTAAAAAAAGTTTCTACTAATTTAGTTTTCATCCCATACTACAGATGTCCATTAAATAAGTTCTCATTGTTTTTCTAGAGTTGATTGTATCTTTTCTATTATTTTTTAAAATGTCTATGCTGGATCAGAGTATTGAATTGTCTCTGCTCATATGTAGGATGTAATATACAGAAAAACATTATCACAAAAGTGCTATAGGTTTACTTTTATCTTGCTCTCTTAACAACCACATGAAAATACTGGGGAAATATCACTGATACATTTCTGCCATAGAGTCATTAATATCTTGATGATACTATATGCCTTCTGATGTGCAAAGGCTTACAGAGCTCCCCTACAGTATGGAGATTTTTGTATAAATTCATTTTGTGTGCCAGTTGTGTCTATTCCTGGATTGAAAGACTCTGCTTATAATCAGTCATGCCTTATTCCTTTCCCATTTGGATTACTGCATTGTGCTTTTCAAAGGGCTGCTCTTGAAAAGCATTCAGAAGCTTTAATTGGTCTGGAATGTATGCATCAAGATTCAGCCATGGGATACCATTGTGAGTTGCCCTGACTCCCACTAGTGTCCCAAGTGCATTTCAAGGTGTTGTGGAGGACATCACTTTTGAGAAGGGTAATCTAGCCAAACCTGTATCCTTTCACAATGCATACTACTTTGGATACAGCATCCCTGATTGTTAACTCTGCTGACTGAGACTGATAGGAAATAGAGACTGATGAAATCTGGAGGGCTGTGGTTTGTTATTCTGCTCCTAGTATCTGGCATGTTTTACAAATGGCAAATAATGTGCATCACAAGACATACTAAGGATATCCAACTACAAAGTAAAGCAGAGTACACAGAATGTATTCTTAATATATAATTTTTTTCCAGAAAATGTCCATTGCATACCTGATACAAAAAGTCTAGCACTGTTGCTCTGACGTGTTTCTCCAGTGTATCTGTGCCGAGTGATACATCGGTAATTATACAATCCATCTTCATTCTGTACATCTATAATATACAAGGCTCCCGTGGATGTGATGAGAAATCTAGATCCTAAACAACATAAGAGTATGCAGATTTTAAAATATGACAGAGTTTTGGTATTCTCTTGTCCAGTATAAATGAAAATTTTACTAACAAGTATTAAGGATATCACTGTTGACAGTTGACAGTTCAATTTTTAAAAGATTGTAGTATTAGCAGTTATTTAAGTGCTTTTTCTAAACAAATGGGGAAAAAATAAATAACCTCTAGTTATTATAGAATTAATAAATAAACATTAAGTCAGTGTTCATCATAGATAGCATAGGCACTGTAAAGCTATTTTAAGTAAAGCAGAACATTTCTATATTTGTGTTATCTCTGAATACAAAGCTGAGAAACATGTTAACTATATGAACTAATCCACATAATCACATATGATGATATGTGTAATAAAATAGTTTTGGGAAAAGAAAGAAAGAAATTGGAAAGAAAATGAGGAAAAGCCAACATGCATAAAGATGAACTCCTTAAACATAATTTGTATCCCACCCTTTCTGTAAATAGCTTGTGCTAGCATCCAAGGGCATTCACTGATATTTTATTCATATAAACTTTTTGAAGTTTTTCTAAAAACTATTGCCAAAAAGATGGCTTAAATTCAGATTTCTTATATGGAAAGTCTACCCATTAAGTAGCTCTGCAAACATTAAAGATGATGGGAAGGCCATGAAGCTAATGCCTTTGGTCTCGTGCCCTCCAGTTTATTTGACCTTTGGCCTCGTGCCCTCCAGTCTGCTATTCCCAGAATTCTTCACTTGTGAGAATGAAGATAATTTAAAAGAAAAGTTAGTTTAAAAGAAAGTGCAAAACCTGCACATGAGTGTGGCCTAATGGAAATGTTTCTATCTATGTAAGTGTCAGTATATAAGAATTTATAAACTGGAATAGCCATAACAACAAATCAGCCAATGGGGAACAGTTTGGTGACTAAGAGCCATGTAAAACAGCTTGGTGCCTGGGTGTGGCTTAGCTTAACTGTTCTGTGTATTTAAGCTTGCTTCTAGTTCTGGTCCTTGCTTCTACTTCTACTTCTTGTCCTTGTACTTGCTACTGCTTCAAGAGCTGCATGTGTATTGTATACATGCATCATATTTTATATTACTGTATATAAAGAAATTTCTTCTATAAATGAATCCTGCTGAATTATTTACTTGTATGCTGGCTGGTTAGCTACAGACTCTGACACAGTGGTGGGTTGCTACCAGTTTGCCCTGGATCGAGCAAACCGGTAGCAGTGGCGGCGGGAGGCTCCACTTACCCACCCAGACGTTTCTGCGCATGCGCAGAAGCGTCACACACAAGCGCACATGCGCCCACAAGCAAATCAGTAGCGGCCGAAATTGAAACCCACTACTGTTCTGACAGTATGGTCACATAAAGGATGCTGATAAGCAAACAAAACTATATGAAAGACTAAAGGAGTGAGAAGGATTTGACCTATTTTTATCATCATCTTATTAATATATTGATTGATATCTATCTGCCAATGTAATAACCAAAGTATTGCAAAATATACAACTACAAGTAACAATAAAACCAGCAATAAATCTTATGGCAATTCTAGGACTAATCAATGCATTTTATATAGATTTCAAAAATGACAATCTGATAAAAATGATATCATCATAATAATTTTAAAAGTATTCATATTAAACAGACTTTTAATCAGGAGCAAAGAAGTTTGAAATAGTGCCATCTGCCTTAGCTAGCAGTAAAACTTTCAACGGTATTTAAAATACTAAAGAGAAAATGTCAAGTCAAAAGAAAAGGGAAGCAGGAAAAAAAAACAATTAGCCTATCAAATCCAAGGCAAGTGTACAATAATAGCTTTCATAACTGCAACCTGTAAGGATAACAATTACTTGCCTGTAGCAATTTTTAAACTTTTTAAAGCCAAAGTGCTACTAAGTGTTTTGCTGTATGGTGTTTAATGTTACACTTCCAAGGACATTTGTGTGTTAGAAGTTGCGTAATCTAAATTGTAGAGACTGTACTCGATATTCCATATTTTGTTGTTAATGTACTTCTCTAGCTAAAATCTGGCTGTCTGTCAGGTTGGGTTTGATTATGACTCTGCTAGTTTAAGTACCGGTTTCAACAAATTTGGGATTTCTGATGCACAGACACTAGTCTTCTTGGAAGAAACAAGTAATTGATGACCTGACCTGGCTCATTGTAAGTTCATTCCCCCCCACCTCCAAATTTATATTCATACCAGACTTGCACAAAATCTCGAGAGAGCCCAAGCAGAAAATTTTAGATCTTGACTCACAAAAAGAATCAATGCTTTGGATATCTTGGCTACAGTGAGTTCACACCCTCTTTTTACAATTCCCAAATATGTGTACACTTAATTAATATAGACTTCTGTAAAGCTTTTGATTCAGTGGTACACGACAAATTACTTCTAAAACTAAAATCCTATGGCATTTCTGGACTCCTACATAAATGGATAGCTGCCTTCCTGTCAAATAGACAACAAGTGGTCAAAATAGGAAGCGCTCTATCAAATCCTGTACCTGTTAATAGTGGTGTTCCTTAAGGCAGTGTTTTAGGTCCAACACTCTTCATACTTTACATAAATGACCTTTGCGATCATATTAAAAGCAACTGTATTCTCTTCACTGATGATGTTAAACTATTCAACACCACTGACAATGTAACTACCCTTCAAAAAGACCTTGACTATGTGTCAGATTGGTCTAACAAGTGGCAACTACAAATCTCAACCAACAAATGCTCTGTCTTGCACATTGGCAAAAAAATTCAAAACATAAAATACAAATTAGATGGACATGACCTTGTAGATGATCCTCACTCTGTCAAAGACCTTGGAGTACTCATTTCTAAAGATCTAAATGCCAAAGCCCACTGTTAACAACATTGCCAAAAAGGCATTAAGCATTGTTAACCTAATCTTGCGTAGCTTCTTCTCTGGTAATATTGTACTATTAACTAGAGTATACAAAACAAACTTTCGAATACAGGTCATCTGTCTGGAAGCCGCACTGCACATCAGACAAAAATACAATTGAGAGAGTCCAGAGATATTTTACAAGAAGAGTCCTCCATTTCTCTACCCGCAATAAAATACCTTATGCCACCAGACTTCAAATTTTGGGCTTAGACAACTTAGAACTATACCAACTTCGGTCTGACTTAAGTGTAGTACATAAAATTATCTGCCACAATGTCCTGCCTGTCAATGACTACTTCAGCTTCAATCACAACAATACACAAGCAAATAATAGATACAAACTCAAGGTAAACCGCTCCAAGCTCTATTGCAGAAAATATGACTTCAGTAACAGAGTGGTCAATGCCTGGAATGTGCTACCTGACTCTGTGGTTTCTTTTCCAAACCCCCAAAACTTTAACCTTAAACTGTCTACTGTTGACCTCACCCCATTTCTAAGAGGTCTGTAAGGGGCGTGCATAAGTGCACCAGCGTGCCTACTGTCCCTCTCCTAATATTCCTTTTTACTTACTCTTTTCATGTATTCAAATTATGTTTATACTTTTATCTGTTATCTTATATATGCTTGACAAATAAATAAATAAAATAAAAATAAATTAGTCTTGTCCACGGGAAGGGTTTTATATTGGCACATCTGGATGTTCTCCCCTCAATGGAACTGTGGAGATGAAATGGTATTCCTCATCAAAAGTGTTCATGTAGTTGCTCAGGCTTTGAAATTAAGAAAGTAGCACATGTGCTTTCAAATGTTCTATATGCCACTTTTGGAGGTCAGAGATAATCTTCCCTCTATAAATTCTTCAGATTTCTCTCATATGGCAACCATGTGTTATCTACTAAACAACTAGGAGTCGGAAACTCTAGAATTGTTGCCACTTTTGTACAACCAATATGACAATTAGAAGTTTTGGCTGTCATTGCTTCTCCATTGATATCATATGCAGGCATAAATAAGCCTTATTTGATGCTATGACATATTTTTCAACTTCTGCAAGTCATTTATAATTATATAAATGAAAAAAATAAAAGCAAATGCAAACTACAAAAATACAAATAGAAAAATTCAAAAGGAATTCAAAAGGAAGAACAGAAAAAGAGCAATTAAAGCATAACTCCCTGTGGCAGATAATATCCTATGGAATAGGCAAGATATCACAACTGTACAGGAAAATGTAAGCAAAGACCTTCTGAGAATGTTGTGGAAAAAAGATTACTATAAAATATAAAGTATAGACCAGGCATGTCCAACATACAGTTATGTGCCCCCACAAGTTTGTAAACTTTTAATATTATTATGTGATTTATATATATATCAGCTACTGTATATTATATATTTTATATGAGTCTCAAGAAAATTCCTCTTCACTCAATGCAACCCAAGCAAGTCAAAAAGTTGTGCACCCTTGGGGTATAGGTAATAACTTGCCTTTGTGAATTAGAACAACAAATACAGAATACTTATCTTCACAAGTCACCACAAAAAAGACAGAAAAAGAATTATTTCCAAAAGTAAAAGAATTTGGAGATAAACAGTCATTTTGAAGTTCATCAACAAGAGAAATAAAAAATCGCATTGGAAGTTCAGATAGACAAATCAGGTTTTGTCAGTCCAAAGGCCAGAGTTTCAGGATTTTTACACAAGCAGAATTTACAAAAAAATCACACACCAGAGCAAGAGAGCAGACAATTGTTTCCAATGGAGATTATGGGTCAGATTATGGGAAACATGGGTCAGAGATCCATCATAAATCAGGCTGGAGACAGCTATCTTCAGTTAAGATAGTTACTCCCTTCCTTGGCAAGGACTCACATTAAGCATCTTTGTTCTGCTCTCAGCTTTACTCATCAAGTCCTTATCAGCCCTGCCCCATCATTTGACTGCTCCAAGTGTTCTGCTGGTGCCTGTGTTTGATCAATCTCAGGTAATTCCTGGATTGGTGTTGCTATGGGTTCATTCTATGGGTTCAACTGGACCAGCTTCTCCAGAGTCAAAATTTGTGTCCTGGGCCATGACAGTTAGAGATTTAACCTG